GAGAGAGGGAACACAAGCAGGGGGAGTGGGAGAGGGAGAAGCAGGCCTCCCGCTGAGCAGGGAGCCCGATGCGGGGCTTGATCCCGGGACTCCAGGATCATGACCTGAGCCGAAGGCAGCCGCCCAACCAACTGAGCCACCCAGGCGCCCCATCCCTGACCTTAATGTTAACATCTTACATAGGACAATTATCAAAACCAGGAAATTAACATTGGTACAATACTACGGATGGCATATCTTATTCAAATATTACCAGTTTTTCACACTAATGTCCTTTTCTTTTCCAGGATCCTATACATGATCCCACATTGCATTTAGCTGTTATTTCTCCTTAGTCTCTTCCAATCTCCAAAGTCTTCTTATGGTAATAGTTTTCTTTCTTTCTTTTTTTTTTTTTTTTAAAGAATTTATTATTTTTTTGACAGAGAGAAACACAGCGAGAGAGGGAACACAAGCAGGGAGAGTGGGAGAGGGAGAAGCAGGCCTCCCGCGGAGCAGGGAGCCCGATGCAGGGCTCGATCCCAGGACTCTGGGATCGTGACCTGAGCCGAAGGCAGATGCTTAAAGACTGAGCCACCCAGGCGCCCCTTTATGGTAATAGTTTTCAACTGCTGCCATAACAAACTACCACAAATTTAGCTTAAAACAACACATGTTTATCATCTCACAATTTTTGTGGACCCAGAGTCTGCACACAGTTTAGCTGGATGCTCCCCTTAGGCTGATCTCTGTGAAGTGACAGTGAAACAAGGTTTTCACTGGGCTGTGTTTTCATTCAGAGGTTCAACTGGGGAAGAATCCACTTCAGAGTTTATTCAAATTGTTGGCAGAATTAATTTCTTTGCAGCTATGGGACTGAGGGCCCCTTTTTGCTGGCTGTCCACTGGTGGACACCCTTAGGTCCTAGAGGCCACCTGCAGTTTCTGGCAACATAGGATTCTCCAGCATTGCCACTTACTTCATCAAGCCCACAAAGAGAACCTTTAGCTCTAGTCTGCTATAATGGGGTCTTACATGACATAACATAATCGCAACAGTGACATACCATTTCTTTTACCATATAAAATAACCTTACCACGGGAGTGACATCCCCCTCACCTTTGCCATTTTCTGTTGGTTAAAAGCAAGTAACAGGTTCTGCTTGCACTCCAGGGGTGGGGATTATACTATGGCACAGATACCAGCAGGCAGCAATCACGTGGTCACTATAAAGTCTGGCCACCACACCTATCTTCATGACCTTTTCATTTTGGAGGAGTACCAATCATTTATTTTGTCAAATGTCCTCCACTTGGTTTTTCTAATATTTTTGTAACTGGAATATGGTTGTACAATTTTGGCAGTACCACAATGGTGCTGTGTCCTTCTCTTTGTATCATAAGACAGGGCTAATGACAGCAATGTCTTATTACTGGTGATGTCAACCTCAATGGCTTGATTAAACTGCTTTCTGCTGGGTTTCTCTACTGTAAACTTACTATCTTTCCCTTTGTAGTTAATAAGCACCTTGGGGGGACGCCTGGGTGGCTCAGGTGGTTAAGCATCTGCCTTCAGCTCAGGTCATGATCCCAGGGTCCTGGGATCGAGCCCCACATCGGGCTCTGTGCTCAGCAGGGAGCCTGCTTCTCCCTCTCCCTCTGCTTGCCTGTCTGCCTACTTGTGATCTCTCTCTCTCTCTCTGTCAAATAAATAAATAAAATCTTTAAAAAAAAAAAAAGCACCTTGGGTAGTGGGAAATATTTTGACACTGTGCAAATCCTTTTTCTCCTCAAATTTTCACTCACTAATTTTAGCATCTATCAGTTGTTTGTGTGAAACAACTATTACTGTGGTGTTTGCCTAAACGGCCACTTTCTATGTTCCTCTTTCCTTCTACATTTAACAACTGGAATTCTACCGTAAGGAAGAGCTGTCCCTTCTTCCCCAAGAAAAGATGTTTTAAATAGAACAAAAATGCAATAACTATAAAAGAAAAAAATTGGTAAATAGCTCGTTAAAATTATGAACTTCTCTTTGCTATATCATTAAGAAAGTAAGAAGCTGGGCGCCTGGGTGGCTCAGTTGGTTAAGCAACTGCCTTCAGCTCAGGTC